TGTGGTAATTGAACTACTAGAACGCCATTTATGAGATGAGAGTTAGAGAATGTGGTGAAAACAGTTTATTGCTTCTCTATACAGCGTCGGGTTCAGTGGTCGTGGAGTGGAATATCCTAGGCGGAAGTTCTGCCTTTAGTATGTAAGTGTCTGCTAGTAGTAGCCGATCAAATGAAGTCCTGTCAACATCAGAAGACATCCCGTAGCTGTCGGCTTCAAACGTCTGTAGCTTCATCCCCTACATCCTACTAATCCCCAGTGATCATATTGGCACAAGGTAATTTAGAAATGGTCGACCGATTGCCTTGCATGTGACTATCAATTTTTCTTTGGTTTGCCCCAGGCGGCTTGAAAACTTTGTTGCGGTTTTGTGCTTTGTTGGCAATAAGTTGCATTTGTGTGCGCAGAGAAAGAAAGTAGGCTGTCCAAAGTGAACTCTAGGATCTTCGGGTCAGAATTTGCGTGCGATCGACGAGAATTACCAGCTGCAACCTGATCTCATTCGTGCAGGTGGTAAATATGCTTGCTGTAAACCAGTTCAGCGAGAGATCTATTTACTTTTGAGCACAGTCCATCAATGTCATTACCGGACGCCAAAATCGAACAATCGTCAGTCAGCGCGCAAGATCAGCGAAACTCGCTTGGTGGCTGAGACAGTTTCGAAAAAAAAAAAACTCTACAAAAGAGGAGAGAGGACACCACCTTGTGGGACCGCCTATTCAATTTTCCTTGGTTCCGAAATTTGGCCTAGAAATATTACTGTAGAATGCCAACCACTCGAATAATTCGTGCCTACGTTTTCTGGCAACGTGGAGTGACAAGTCTTCGACTAAGACGATTCTCTCTGTAAACACTGTGCACTTTACGGAATCCGCCGAACCCAATTTATGCAGCATTACCAAGCATTCCTTAGGAAGCTTTTGCCTTCCCGATGGCCACCTAAATTGAAAATAAGACGCGCAGTGTTTTGGTATTATCCTCCGAAGGATGCAGTGTGAATTGCCGCCTGAAATAGCTCGCGCATCCGAATGGAATTTTCATTCTGTCATCGCGCCTCGTCTGGTTTGGCATGAACCTCACTGTTGGCCAAAGCTTATTCACACCAGAGGTAAAGTCATATCTGCCGCTTTTTCCAAGAACAGTGATATCCGTACAACGATCAATAAACCGTCATGCCGACGAATCCTACTTTGGATTGCGTTCAGTTCAGTTGGAGTACTTTCGTCTGCCTTGTGAGGCTGATCACGATTCAGGGGATGAGATATTGTTTAACTTTTATTTGCTGTTCAAGCCGCTGTTGGGTTGACTCATATAGCATTACGGCTTATCCTTGTCTGACACATGGAGCCGATAGTGGGAGAAACCAAGAACTCTTGGTTGGTGGCTGGTTAGTGCTCACACGGGAGTTGGAACGGGAATAAGGTTTGGGAGACGTTATAAGAGAGGGAGTTTGCGATTGCCAGATTTACGGCCAGAGTAGATCTTTATGGGATTCATCCTTGGCGTGTGTTGCATCTAGCCAAGCTGTAGTTCGGTTGGAACAGAAGTAGGTTTGTTGTTGTTGTTGTTGTTGTTGTTGTTGTTGTTGTTGTTGTTGTAGCGGCTACAACAACCCCGCCCAGATCGGTTGGTATCTCAGTCGTTGTCGTCAAGTTCCACTAACGGCAACCCTAGGAAGCGTGCAGCTTCTGCGGGGTTTGCCCATAAGGACAAGGTCGTTAGGGATGTCGGGTTTGCCGGGCATGCGAAGAGATGTTTCGAGTCATGTGGGGTCTCTCCGCATGCCGGACATTCATTAGGCACATCCTCATTCAGCCTACTCAGGTAGGAGTTTAACCTGCTGCAGTAGCCGGAGCGAAGTTGTGCAAGTGTGGTGCGCGTCTCCCGAGGCAGATGAAGCTCCGTCTCGTCAATGTCCGGGGGTGGTGTGCCTAGAACGGCATTCACAGGTCTAGAGTCTACATAACTCGAGACTGAGTCCCTGTGAATGCCG